TATAAAAACGACTTGCTGTCTTTGAAGTTAATTTTTTTTTCTAAAATATAAAATTTAAAAATAAATAATACGTCAATGTGAAAAAACACTTTTAGACTTTTTAACTAAATCTGTTTTTTTTTTGTATTTTTTAAGTTTTACAAAAATTTTTTAACCAACTTTTCTACACCACTGGACGGTTTTTATTGTAATTTTAATGGTAGTGCTGTAAAAAAATTAAAACTCGCAGTTTCGTAATTATTTGGGTGAAAAAAGATTCAAATTTTTGTTAGTGATGTTTCTTCTAATTTTGGTCACAAAAACTAAACTAATAGAAATATGTAATAAAATAATAAAAAAGTGCTACTATGTTTGACCTAATATAAAAAATGACTTGCAAAATAAAATAGAGTTTTATTCTTTGAGGAAGAAAAGTTAAAACCAAATTTAGTTAATTTTTTGCTTTTTTTTTAATTTTTTTAAGAAACCAACTCTTGTCTCCACCACTGGTCAAATCTTTGTGAAAAAATCCTCAATAGTAGATAAAATAAGTAATCGAAATGTAGGCTATCAGTCTTAAATTCGTGGTAGTGCTGTGGCCCCAATCAGTATTTATATTCGAGCGCCATTAGATGCGTTATCTCCCGTGATAAACAGTATTGTAATCACGTCAGTGGCGTGCAGTGCACTCATTGAAATCTCCTCCAGGTGCTCTAAGTGACGTCATCATATCTTTGATTTGCGAGGTGCAGGTTCATCTGCCTCGATGTGGGCCCCGCCCGCTGGCCAATAGCCGTTGAGGCCGTCCGAAGATGGCCAGGGCCTTAGAGTGGGGCCCGCATCAGTCGGTGTTTCACCTATGACAAGTGCAAGATGAGGAGAAGTGCTGATGGTGCGTGCGTTCGGAGATGAGGTCTGCTTCGGCAGCGCTGCTGGTGGTGGCGGCCCTAGTGGTGGTGCCCGTTTGGGGTTGCGGCCCGGGTCGGGGAGTCGGTCGACGAAGAGGTCCAAGGAAATTGACACCATTGGTGTTCAAACAGCATGTGCCCAATGTGCCGGAGAATACGCTCACGGCGAGTGGACTCACGGAAGGACGAATCGGGAGGAATGATTCGAGGTTCAAGGATCTGGTGCCCAATTATAACCAGGACATTGTCTTCAAGGATGAGGAGGGGACGGGGGCTGACAGGCTTATGACACAGGTAAAAAATTTCAAAATCGGCGAAAATCTTGATTTTTAAAACCAAAATTGTAAATTCTTAAGTAGGTCAAGATTTGTAAAAAATCAAACAAAATTTATTTTTGAATTTTCAAAATATTGAATACCAAACAGTTAAAAATTCAAAAGCAATTTACAAAACCTTGTCAAAAAGTGTCAAAAAATATTACATAATTGAAGACCAAAATTTTATCAGAAGTTTAATTTTTTAAATAAATGTTTTTGTTAAAGAATAATTTTGGAATCATCTCATAATTTGACCTACTTTTCAAAATCAAAAAAATGAGATTTTGACACTTTTATTAAATTTTATTTCTCTCACACTTTTTTCACACAATTCGAGTTTTGGTGACAAATATTCCCAAAAAGTTTTTGGTAATTTTTTAATGAAATAATTTTCGAATTATCTTATGATTTGAGGTATTCCAAGATGAAATTTTGGTCTTCAAGATTAACCAAAATAATTGACATTTTGAAAAAGTTTTGTAAATTTTGTTGTGGATTTTTTAGTTTTCTTGATTTTTGAATATTTGTGATATATTATTTTGGAAAAATCATTTTTGAATTATCCCATAATTTGACCTCTTTCAAGCTTTCTAGACTTGAGATGTAATTTTGATTTTTCAAAAAAATTGGTTTTTGACACTTTTATTTATAAAGTTTTGTAAATTTTGTTCAAATAAGTTCATAGGTATAATAAATGAGCAAGATAAAAAGTTTTTTTAATATACAGAGTGTCTCAAAAAAGCAAATAAATGAATGAAAATGAGTTCAAAAAATTAACTTATTTCTCTCACACTTCTTACAAAATATGAGTTTTGGTGACAAAAATTAAGGAAAAAATAATAAATTGGTGATTTTTTTAATAAAATAATTTTTGAAT